AAAGTAAGTGGAAGTGAAAGTGTATTCCTTGGTAATAGCAACTTGTATAGAGAAATAATTTTGAATTATAAAGATTATGAGATGGAAATATATCTTTGAGATGTCTTTTTACTATTCAGTCAGTTATTATTTTATTAATCACTATTGACTTTGTTTTTGTTATTCTTGCAGTAATGTGTTAGACTAAGTATCCTGTTTGCTCAACTGTAATCATTAGTTTGTTCTTTTCCTTTTACAGAGTTAGGTTTTGAGTTTTGTTTCATTGAGGCAGGGTTTTAATGTAGTCCAGGCTACCTCTTTCAGTCCTTTTGCCTCAACCTTCTGAGTGCTGAGGCATAGATGTACACTTTCATGCTGAATTGTTTAGATTTTAGTGCAGAATTCTGGGCTCTAGGGTTCTAGAGACTTGCTTTTTATTATTATTTTTTTAGTATGTGAGGGCATGCCGGTTCTACTCTCCCAGTGTGTGACTTTACACTAAACACTTCATTGTTTTGCATCTCAATTTCCTGATCTGTAAAACGACAGCATTATATTAACTGGTCCCTACGGGCTTTTGAATCCTGAGTTTGACATAGATATTATCCAGTGATTTGCTAAAAACATGAGCCAGGTGTCAATACTTGTTAAATATATTCTTCTCCTGGATGTTTCATAGCCCAGTGATTAAATAAATGGAAAATTTCATTCTGATTTAAAACAGCATTCTTCCCTAATAATTGATGTGATACATAGTTCTTATTGTAAGTACATAATGCCTTGATATTATAGTAGTGATTAGCTGAAAAGATGCTTTTTGGGGTGCATGTCTATTATTATTGTTGTTGCTTGAAAGTCTCACAGTGGAGCCCAGAGTTTCCTGTAAACTACTCAGCCCAGACTGGCTTCAAACTCTTGGGAATTCTCAGCAAAAGATGTTTCTTTTTATAATAATTAAAATATATAGAGGGAAAGAGACTAGAAAGGTATGCAAACAAGTACTTTCTTCTCATAAATACGTTGTATTCTATCTCTTACTAGGAGTGTTTAACCTTTTGGTATTGTTACTTTGCATGCATGGAGTTCACAATTGAGAACCATTTGCAGTTTAATTACAAAAAAAAAGCCAAAGTTATATGTCATAACATTTTAAGAAATTTTTATTTGTTTTATGCCACATTCATAGTTATCCTCAGCCCCATGCTGAGACATGTCTGAGTGAGACTGATGTCACTCGGCAGTGTAGTTTTCTCCATCTTACTCTTTCAAAGCTGCTATCCAATTGTGCCTTAAGGGAAGCCATGTGAGATGTGAGTTAGCATGCGTTCCAGAGGCACACTGTCCTGCACATCACAGTCATGTTTTTCTCCTTTTCAGTTCTTCATGTTGGCTGCAAATACATTGGTAGAAAACAGAAAAGAAACGCTATCACCTTGGTTATAGGATAGTAGTACTTGTTTATTTGTCTGCCCATTGAGTTAGAAATCCTGTTAGTACATTCCCAGTCATTTCCCATCTCTGGCTATTGATAAGAGGGGATAAAGCTTTCTGTGTTTGTAGATCTGGGGTATTACATAGTTTTCCTGTAATAGTTGAAGTATGAGCCTGCTGATTCCTAGAATAATGGCTAATTTTTTATGTGGCTCTCTGTGGGATATTTCTCACTGCCTCATGGAAACTGATGAGTATGTAAATGTGTGATAGATACGAGGCACACAAAAACATATAAAGAAGCCTCATCTCTCTCACATATATTTATCCCCAGAGGATCCCTTTCTGCATTGCTCTGTGCTGCCTTATGGGCATGTGCTTGGACAGAGCCAAGACCTGGGAAATCTTAGGCTTCCATCTTTTCTTTCTCTTCTGAGCTCTGGAGTATTCTAGAATTACAGGGTTTCTCTTTGTGGGGGTCATTTGATTAAAGTTGGAAGCTCTGTTTAATCTATAAAACATCCTGTAATGGAAAAGGGCCAAATCAAGTTAGTGTGAAAAATGAACCCTTTAATGGTCTTTGATTACTTTGTTGGGGTTTGACATGTTTTGGTAGCTCCCAGGGGGAGTAGTGGGGAAGATTATTTTCTAGTTCAGATAATAAAAGAGTTAGATTCTAGTTCTGCTTTCATCAATAACTAGTTGTGTGATATCTTGGTTACCTGAGATGCCAAATGGTTGTTTACCCTCCTCTCCGAGTTCTTACGTGAGAGAAAAAACAGAAAATGTTTCTGTGTCTTGAAAATAGTAAACCATAGTGATTGTCTTGAATGCTCTGGAATTTCATATAAAGTCAGTGCCTCTAATAACAATATGAAGAATTAAATTTTAAAAAGTCACAGGTGGGATATTATCTCTCTAATTAAAATGCCTTTTTAAAAAATGACTTTTGAACCTGGCTGGAATTTACCACTGGGTCCTAGCAAATGAGCAGATCTAGCCTGTTTCCTTTGGTTTCAAGAGTTAGCTGGTAGAACTTAATGTGACTTTTTAGGTTCTTGATGTGACATCTTAGTCATTAGTCTGATTGGAGCATTCTTGATATCACCCATCCCTCTGGTTTGGCTGCATGCTCAGATACCATGTCTCCTAGGAGTCCCCAAGGGCCAGTGGGGAGGATGAGGGGGAGGCCAGCTGAGCTCCTGGGCTAGAGACCAAGAGCCCTTGCTCGGCTCGTTTCCCACTCATTGTGCAGCCTGGGCCCTATCACTAGAGGGGCCTGGCAAGGAAATGAGGAGGAAGTGAATGCCACTGCTGGTTCAGAATGTTCCAGTGTGGTTGGAAAGTTTGAGGAGCAGGCTGGGTGAGAAGAACAAGACCTTATTGACAGGGTTCAGTCCTGGTCAGGTCTGTTTCACATCAGCTTTCTGAATAATCACAGCTCTCCAGTAGCCAGTAACACCCCCATCCCTTCTGTATGAGTATGGTAGAACATAAAACATTCCGTTTTATGCCATGTGGATAGTGTGGAGAGTATAGTATTGGATGCTTCAAGGTAACAATGCTGTAAGAAAAGCAAGTCTGCTTCCTAGAAATCTTTAGTCAAATTATTATCAGTACAGCTATTTTCTTTAAGACTGCTTTGTTAGCTGTTGATTCACAGCGCTTCCCTCCACACACACCTGCAACAAATTACAACCTTCCAGTGATCATATAGGCCAGCTTGGTTTATCCTGGCTTGAATCAGTTCAGCCTTGCAATTTGATTTGGCTAACATCTAAACGTGTGTAAAACCTATACACATTGTAAGATTGAGATGAAAAGGCCAAGCTCTTCTCCACGCAAGTCTATAAACCAGAATATTTATGTCAAAAAGTCAGAATAAAATCTGCTTGAGTTTTTAATGAACCACAGAATGTGCTCTTTGTACACCTGGCCTTGCCATTCTGCATGAATTCATGCAGGACTTCTGAATTAACCTTGTAAACACTCACTTGGCAGCCCTGTCATTTTTCAGGACCCATTGGTGGCTCCCTTACCAACTTTAGGTCAGATCATGACAATACTAAAATTTGTGTCATTTCCCCCCCCCCCACTGAAATATGTGGAAGGGATTTCTAAACCTCAAAGGGATATTTTAAGCTTTTTCAAACTTGTGAAACATAAGAAAAACCTCAATACTCTAGCTGCTTTACAGAACACAAGTTTGTGTTAATTGGAGCCTTAGTTTTATATTTAAGTCTGAGTTGAATCGAAGGGACTCGCCATTGGGGTAAAACGCTGAAGAGCAATTATGGAATTGGCTCCAAAATGTAAGACTTAGTCCTTTCTCTGAGAGTTGCTAGTATTCCTCAAATAGTAATAGTTCAACCATTGGCCTCAGACTAATTTAATTAGATCTCTGTCATACATATTTCTCTCTTAGTGTCATGAAATTATTTAACTAGAAAGTCCCATCTGGAAATTTCTAAAACAATTTTTATTACCAGTTGAGTCTCTCCGTGTTTATTCAGCTATCTCCTCCTTAAGGCAGGAATCACTGCATGTTTTAAGATCAACTCATAGAAGTAGTTGTTTCTTCTTTAGAAATGTGTTTGTATATATGCACACATATATGATAAAGCAGTTTTAATTGAATCCTATCCCATTAACCCTCTATACCTCAAATCCTCTAAACTCAGTGGCTTTCTACAGCCCTAGGGCTTAGCTGCTAACTGGTTCCTGAAACCTCCTGTGGAGGTTCTTACCTTACTACATAGTACTTCCAGCCTTCTCCACAGTTCTGTGGAGTCATTCTTAGTAATGGCAACACCTTGTGCTCACCCTCTCCTTTTGAATTTGCCACTTTCCTTTTTAAATATCACCCTCTATCTATCAATAAAGATTACACCTGGTCTTCCCAGGACTTGGTCATTGTATCCAATTTTCTCTCTTGTACCCTAAAGATTCCTTCACCCACAGACAACAGGAAGCAGATTGGAGAACATTGTGACTACATTCCCATAAGAGGTGGGGGAGGCTTTGGGTTGTTTTAAGATGTGTTGCAGTTGTTTACGGTGTGGAACATTTGTTTAATGATACAAAGATGTGTTGCATTCTTCTATGTTGCATTTAATTCTGGGAAGCTGTTTTTTGCCTCTCTAAAAGGATAAAAATCATCATCATCAACAACAACAAAATAAAAATAAATATCATCCCCATGAGAAATTTGTTGTATTCCTATGGCACTAAGACATTTTGCTTTGCTAACATATTTGTGTATTTCACATAGCCTGTAAATGGTAAAACTTGAACCCAGATCCATGTGATACTGAAACTTTGTACTCTCTCTGTTGCTCTTGTTATTTGCTTGGGTTTTGATTTCTTCCTGTCTTCAGCAATGCTTATATATGTCCTTGTCTACTTTGTTAATAGTCAAACACCATTTGGTGTTTGTTGTCCTTATCACTTTTGTTTTTACTTTGGTTCCTGTGATTTTTATTCTGTTCAAATTGCATTTCAAATGATGGTCTCAAAACTCTTAGTATAGATCACAATTCTGTCCCAGCAACCATTGGTCTAACACTTCTCAATTTTCCCTCTCTTTCCAGGATGGCTCATACTTGGCAGAATTCCTGCTGGAGAAAGGATACGAGGTGAGTGACTCAGTGCTCCTGGGGTTGCCCTGCACTGTTAGGATGCAGCTGCTTTGCTTCCTCTGTGTGTGCTTTCCACGGAAACTCTGATAACAAATCAGAATCCAAGCACGACTCTGCCATGGCGCCGGTGATGTTGCCAGCTCATTGTGCTGTCTATCTGCTGGTGAGCACACGGGGTTCGGCTGTTCTGCATGTCTCCCTTGTTTTCTGATAAAGCAACAGCCTGCGTGAGCCTGACTGCAACAGTGTTAGGGTTAATGATGTAGTTTATGATGTAATGTGCTACATTAAAAAGTTCCACTTATGGTGAAGTCACTTAATTTGGAAATTGCACAGAGCAATAAAAACCAAGATGATCTTCGGCAAACTTGCATGAAAGATTTACATCTGGAGGTGTTTGCTTTCTAACAGGAAGCTGCATATTTTATGGAAGATGAATCTGTGTGATTCATGTTGGTTCTATTATCGTTGTGTTTTGTTCTTCAACATTAGAAATAAAAAATTTCTATTAAATTTTATGTGGTTTAGTGAGTGCTTTTCAAGAACATTTTCTGGATGTACCTATGTGTCAGTTTATGATCTATAGAGAATAAAATCTTATACATTGACTCATTTCTGGTGTACTTTGGCAATGTTTGTATTATTAGTTTGTACATTTTCTCTTTACTTCCATCAGTTGCAGCAATTTGTATAAAAATATTCAGTTGGACAAATATAAAAAAAAAACTGCAAAGAATTTGGCTTGTTGACAGGATTTGATGAAAAAGGGAATAGTTTTCTTATTGTTAGTCAATATTTTCATGATAGCTTTGACTATAATAAGTCATAGCAGTGTGTAGAACCTTCTGCTTTCTTGTATAGTAGTTCTATGCCTTGCAATACCAAAGTAAAACAAGTATAATTATCGGAATACCTATGTAAATATATGTCTATAGGAATAGATTGCTATAGTAATAGAGAGGCTGAAAATTCAACAAAAGAAAGTATCTTAGAACAGGTCATAAGTAGTACAAAAACATTGGTTTTAGGGAAATGCTGTTGTTTAGGCAAGTTGCTAACCTAAATGTTAATAAAGAACAGAAATATATGGTGGAGATAAATCTGAAGTGCTGTACAGATATATAGGGTCTGCTGCTAAAGAAAGATGTATGGTAGCCAGTGATGTGAATGAGTTGCCAGGGAATCAGAATACGTAGCTGTGTAAGCCAAGTTATTGAGTTGTTGAAGATGGAGATGATATGTTGAGTGATGCTCTAATCACAAGGGTGTTGAGATATACTTTGAAGTGGACCTGTGGGACTATGAGTAGAAATGAAGTTGGAAGTACTAATCAGTGACTGAGTATAGTCTGGTGACAAGAAAGTGTGTGTGTGGCTGTATGCTGTTATGCTAGTCATGTTGTGTAGGCATTAATCATTTGCAGGTAGGAGGGCTGCAAATGTGTTGCTGTTAGTGCTATTGAAGAAGGCAGGGAAGACTGGCACGGGAAAGTAAAGTTCTATTGAGGTATCTCATTGAGGAATACGGCTTCAGAGCACAAGGGGGATGCATTATTTGCAAATTAGATGCAGTGAGAATTTAAGACATATTGGTAAGCTGCAAATGTTTTAATTTCATTAACACTTGAAGTTAAAAGAGCCAATCTGATTCCTTTACAGAAATGCAACAGAAGACTTACTTGGCAATCACAGTTAATCGAGAGAAATTATCATAGACATGTTGCGATGAGAGTAGTGAGAGCCAAAAATTATTAGAAACTGTGATTGGTAGGATGAAAGGATAAGACAGGTCAGAGAGGACAAGCGGAAGGTCTTCCATTCTATGTGGTTAAAGCATGAGCTTTATGGATGTGGTAAGAGTAAAGAGTTTTTGTGTGTGCTATATTAATTTCAGTGGTCTGCTTTCCTCAGTTTTAGGAGATAATTCATATTATTGTAGAATGTTCTGATGGTAAATCAGGCTTTATCCTTTTAGCTTAGGTCACAGTAAACATTAGAGAGATTAACAAAAACCAGAAAGCATTGGAAAATTTTCAGGATATCAGCTACTGTTCTTAGTATGGGGTTAGCATATGTGTAGTTGAATGATTAGGAACATGTCTGACCACATTTGAATTCAGAGGTCAGTGGCAGCAATTTTGGATGAATACACACATCTTCCCCAATAGACTCAGTCTTTTGTGTGGACCCATCTCAGGTTCTGTTAGAGGCTGGCTCAGAAGTTTGGGATTGTTTTTTCTTACATGTCTCTGGGCATTGTTGATGCTGCTTCCCTGTGAACAGATAGGGTACTACTGTACAAAGGACCAGATGAAGTCTAATGAATGACTTGACTGGGTGAGCGAGTAGGAGCCTTACTTCTAAACTATTTAAGAACTTTTTATTACATTATTTTTTATTCTTTGTGTGCATATGTGTATATGCTTCAGCGTGTGTGTGTGTGTGTGTGTGTGTGTGTGTGTGTGTGTGTGTGTGTGTGTGTGAAGGTCACAAGACAACTTGTGGCAGCTAATTCTGTTTTCTGGGAGATTGGCCTCAGGCCATCAGGCTTGGCAGCACATAGTTTTATGTTCTAACCATCTTGCTGACTTTACTCTCTGAACTACTTTGACTTCATTCAGATTCAGTTACTATTCAGAAATAGTAGGAAGCTTAGAAATAACTAAAAACAACATAGGTTTGGTAGCAAAGTGTGGGCCAGGAGCAGCTCTGTAAGAGGCATGATGCTCTGGCTGCTTTGTTCTTCTACTAGAAGAGGCAGACTTTAATTTGCTGTTAGTGACACAGTCAGCCTGACATATAGAAGGAGGCCAGTAGAGGAGTACAGCCAATTCAGTGGGGAAAATAACACAGTCAATTAAGCTCCTTTGCTTTTACTATAATTATAACAGGCATAGAAAATTTATATCAAAGAACAGTATGTATGCAAATGAATAACTTTTTTTAATTACTGGGGACCAAGGAGTTTATTAGGATCATTAAAGCCAAGAACAGACAGACAGAGCATGACAGGTACTCCAAGGAAAGTTCAGACTCCAGTACCAGACAGAGAGGCTGGGTCTCTGAAGAGCATCAGATCCCCAGGAATAGCATTTATTAACAGAATGCTAAGATTTAATTATTCCTTTGTCCATGTACCTTTCATTTCCTGAAGCTTGGAACATGTTTAATGTGGTTGCTGCAACTTTTTCATTTGGTCACATTCTGAATGGGTCCTCTAAAGTAAAATACAATTAATTGCCTTTTGATAATCTGCATGGGGATATGTGCATGAGTCTCTGCACATATCAAAGTCTGAGGATACTCAAGTTACATATAGAAAATGTTATAGTATTTGTGCATTGCTTATATATATTCTTTTGTATACTTTAAATCATCACTAAGATAGTTATTATACCCAATGCAATACAGATATTCTATAACTAGCTATATTAATTGTGCAACAAAGAAAAGTCTGTCTTTGTTCAAGACAGATAGATGCAGCTGCAGTTTATCATGTGCATGGTTGCAGAGCCTATGGATATTGAGAATCATCTATAATCTTTATTTCTGTCTCAGTTCTTACTGAGAAGACATAAGGAATAATAGTTTTTATAGTTGCTTGATTCTTAGCTTTTACATCAAAAAAAGGTGTCACATCCATCCTTGTTTATTGTTATTATTTTTATAATTAACATTATTCTTATTATTAGAGAAAGGGTCTTGCTAAATAGCCTAGGCTTGCTTGGAATTTACCTACCATGTTCTGGAATTACAGGAATGTGCCACCATGTCTGACTATCTCCTTCTTCCTTTAGTATCTGCAGATGTCTTCATAGTGAGGAGAATCAAGTATTATCTGGCTTTTTGGGCAGTTACCCTGAAGATACTTTAGATGCATTATATATTCTGTAGCTTGCTAAAACTAAAAGTAAATTTTCTTTTATTCCCTGTTGACTAGGACAGATCATGGAGCTGAATAAGCCGTCTAATCCTTACAGTGTTCAGCCCTGGGACTTGGGTAGTGGGTGGCTTATATCTAAATCCTTTCTCTGTTCTTGCTGGCTCCATGTCGTCAGTCCAATTTCTTGACCCATCTAAAACAGTGTTTCCTTCCTTCCTTCCTTCCTTCCTTCCTTCCTTCCTTCCTTCCTTCCTTCCTATTTTTGTTGTTGTTTTATAAGTAGGGGTGGTGACCATATCTGTCTATTGTCCAAGATTCTTTGGAGAATGAGGTGAGAGAACATGTGTGAAACACTTAGCCAGTGGAGCTTTGTGAGACAGAGGGTGCCTCTTGATACAGGAGAGGCAGAGAGAGTGAAGGGTGGCAGGTACTTTAGTGTAACTCATTAATTACAACATTCAAAGTTTTCATGCCTAGGATCCTAGAGCTGTGCATTCTCTCTCATTTTCAGGGAAAAAGGAAGATCAACAGGAGAGAACCCTGCCATGGAAGTACATTCTAGCTTCAAGTACTTTCTCAGCACCGCAGTTTTAGATAGATAACAACATAGGGTGACCACTGCAATGTGTGCTCAGTTTGCACAGAGAAAAATGTGAGATATAAGGACAAAAAAAAAAAAAAAAATCACCAAAGTCTCCAAAAGATAACATGTATCTGTGAATATAAGAGAATCTTTCTTAATAATCCGACAACGACAACACTGCATATCAGAATGTAGGTACATCATGGGTTTCCTTTCCGTGAAAGAAACCATGACTGCCTCTCCTGAGATGGATATCAAAGCAGAAAAGATTGAATTCAAACACTGCTGTTATGTGTGGGGAGTGTTTTAGAATATGGACTTTTTCCTGATTCTTCCTTGATCTGAGAGGCTTTTTTTTCTTGTTTCAGACGCTTGGTACTTTGGCTAGAGAAAAAGCCATTCTTCATATAGATTTCATTTTCAAACTGCACTGTATACTGACACCATAGTACAAGTGTGCCCCTTGATTGCCATGGTGTAAACTACGCAGCGTGTCACTTGTGGTATGGTAATTGTGAAGATTGGCCTTACCACTAGTTAAGGCCAGTGTCTGCTATTGCGGTTAAATAAGGATCAGGATAAACAAATAGGCCTAATAGATGTTTATTTAGGGAGAAATAACTTACAACCTGGATAGATGAACACCAGCAAGTTCCACGGGATGCTCTCCTATCCCAGTTCCCCCAGCCAAAGCGCATTCCGGGTTCTTCCTGAGACCTCCTTCCACAGGTCACTTCCGGCCACTTCCGCCCATGGCTCCACCCCCCAATGGGCGTGGTCAGTGCCACAGAAGGAGACAATGTAACTATCTCACTACAGTCTGCTATGTGGTCACTGCTGTGTAAATGTCAGCTGCTGATACAATCTAGGTGATCCATGCTTTCCAAAGATGAATGTCATTAACCATCCTTAGGAGCCATCCTCCTCCAAGAACAATTTAGACACTGGAGAATTGGTAATCCAGTGGTGTGAATCATCTCTTTTGCTAAGTAATGAAGTAATTTTCTTTGTTTTTGCACCTACTTTGAACTCAGCATTTTGAAATCAAGCCATCTTTGATATTGAGACAACCTGAAATTTTCCTCTGTGACAGTTGACTGAGGCATGAGATTTGTTTGTTAAAACATCCTCTTCCACTTGAGAACTTGGGTATTCCTAGCTATTAACTAATGATAATACTGATTACATTTATGTAAAGGTCACTTGGCCTGTTTGTTTTCTGTTTGCTTTCCTAATCCACATCTCCTTTTCTCTCCATATCTTGGAAAAAGACCTACCTATGTCTTTCTGTAAAGAGAAAGCTGCTAATCTCAAATTCTTAACTAGATTATACAGTTTGCACACATTTTGGCTTGTCTTACTGTTTTTATTTCACCTGCCTCAGAAGCAGACAGACTCAGCTTTCATTAGTTCTTAGAATAATACCTGCTGTCATGGATTAAGTATTTGGCAAGTCTTTCTTCCCATCTACACAAATGCCAAATTTGGGAGTAGTGGAAATTCAAACACATTTTTTTGTTAGGGAAAACCAAAACAAAAACTAGTGTTTTTTGATTGTCTGTGTAGTGTGACATTAAAGATATAGCTTGTATTTGCTCTGATTTGGTATCCCAGTCTGTTAAGATTGTGGAATATCCTCATCAAGCCTTGCAAGTATGAATGTTTAGGGCATTTCTCTGTGCTTTTGTCTATAGGAATATGTGATTTCTCTAGAATTTAATAAAATTAAGAAAAACCTGTCCAAATAATGATTATATTTTAATTATCAAATAACTGTTACAGTTTTAGAACAAAGAAAGTTTCCACTGAATACAGCCATGTACTTACATTGGAGAAATTTGAATATTAGGAATAGCTTTGGTATAAACACCAAGTTTCTTATGCACTAGTATATATATAAAATTGCCACTTACTTAAAAATATTCATTCATTTTGTATATCAGTTTGACTTTATAATCCAGTAACAACTTGTAAAGTGGAGATCATAAAATACAATTAATTATAAGGTTAATAATAACACATTTCTATTTAATGCTTCCTAAACTTTAATATTTGCTTCCTAAAATGTCAGCCGAGTTTACAACATTTCTAAGGTATTTTCATATTTACCAACTTTTCTTGGGTTTTATTCTTTTGGAAAGTGTCGTTGAGTGCTTTTCTCTTGGCAAAGCAGTTAACTAACAGAATTGTTAATCGTGGGCATGCCATGGCCTTAGAGAAGTCAGTTTCTTGTGTATGCCATGTAAAGCAGAGATGACATTTCTTTCTGTTTGAAAGAAAACCTTATGTGCTTATAATTCCCCTTTGCACTTGGAATGTTTGAGTCATGCTGGGGATTAATTTTGGTTTGAAATAGACAGAAAACGATTGAGTTAAAATATAGAAGTGTATTCAGCTGTAAATGAATCTGCCCAACATTAGAAAGAACACTTCTAAAATAAGTCAAGGATTAAAACTGCCACCAGTGCAACTGGAACTTCGGCAGTTGGTGACATAAGCCAGTGTTAGCCTTGGCAGCACGGAGGGAGAAATCTTGACACAAGGAGGAAGTGGAGCAATTTCTCTCATGTGTCAGACACAGTGGTCTTTCTTTAATATCAGCCAGGTATGCCTTGCTGTTCAGTGACTTTATCCCTTCACTCTGACCATGGCCACATCAAAACTTTTTTTATTTAAGTCTTTTTTTTTTAACCTTTTAGTCTTTTATGTCTTAAGTTTGTAATATTTAATCTTTTCTTTAATCTTTATAGTTTGACTTTCTAACTTTACCATACAGCTTCATAATAGCAGCTCCTTTCTGATTGTTTGTGTGCCTCCAGAAATTAATAGAATAACATGAAGTAGCACTGGGAACTCAGGGTAACGTGGAAACTGTATGTTCTGTGTTTAACAGGTCAAAAGCAGTTTCACAGCTGCAGTCTTAAGTTTGCCTTCACTTTCAAACCAGAGATACTTTTGTCATCAGTATGAGTGTGTATGTTTGGAAGACAAACTTGAGTATCTGCAACTATGCGTGAAGACTTGTAATTATCTAATTACTTACATTGGGATTGGCAGTGCAAACCATGTATAAGGTCAGAAGCAGGGTGCTGGTAGCACACAGGCAGTAGTTAGGCAGAAAGTAACCAGTGGAGCTGTTTCTCATAATTTAAAAATACCATCTAGAAGCGCTACCCATTCTTTTTATTGAATTATACATTAGCAGATGAAATTCTGAGTTGCTTATTAACCCTGATTTTATATTTATTATTTTCTTTTATCTCTTTATACTTAAAACTCAGGTCCATGGAATTGTACGGCGATCCAGTTCATTTAATACAGGTCGAATTGAACATTTATATAAGAATCCACAGGCTCATATTGAAGGAAGTAAGTAATTTTCTTCTTGTTGCTTCTTCTCTTTAGATATTTTCAAATACCATTATTCATAGCTTATCTAGTCACAGTTTTTTACCCAGGAATTACTTCAGTGAATAGCACCTTACCTAAAAGATGGGGAAAACTTCCTTGTAGCTGCCTCAGGCTTAATGCCATCTTGATTTGATTATTAGAGTGATATTCGGTAGATGACTTTCAGAGAAATAGATAAAACATAACTTTGCTCAGCCTTCATCAGTTCAGGTCCCTGTTCCTTTAAGTAACACCAGTTCTGTATTAAAAGAACACTCTTTGTTTTTATTTATTTGACTTAATTTATTCAAGTTAATTGATCTTTGCACATTGACATTTTTGAATATTCATTCATGTTTTATTCTAAGAGTATTACGATTTTTATTAAAAGTTAAAAGCATTATTTAAAAATTTGTATACAATTTATTTTGATAATATTTTCTCCCTATTCCAAATCCTCCCAGGTCCTCCCTACCCACATAATTCATGCACATTGAATTTTAAAATGATTCTCAAAGATGTTTTCAAATCTTGATAGTGATTCAAATTATATTTAAATTGCTTTAAAGATCACTATCAGGACTTACTGGCTTTCTTACTTTTGTTGCTATTAATTAATTTGCCCGTGTGGGGAAGTATCATTTAGATAGCACATACTTTCTCACTTGACCTCCTCACTCAGGTAGTTAAAGAGACTATTTTGTACATGGAGACACAGAGAAATAGTGACTTTATCAGGATCACATGCCATGATAAGGGCAGAGCTCAGTCTAGGACATGGGGCTTTTAAGTTTGTGTATTATTTAGTGTCTCTAGCTATCAGGGATGATACAGTGAGGTTGTAACCCCCAAATGATTTAGGTTTTAGTTGTAAAAAGAGTCGAAGTTTTGGTTGCTTTTAGGTATTTATATCATTAGGAAGGTTATTCAATTTTCCATGGAATAGGCTTTCTACCTGATGTTTAAATTACTTGTGTATCTTCTTGAAAGTTACTATGTGTTGAATAGCTCTTATACAAAGTGATAAGAACTTGAGAATTTTAGATTTGGATTTTTTTTAAGGCTTATAGTAAGATGACTTATAAATAGGACCCAACTATTCACATAGGATTTATAATGTTTCATATGTATTATATACATAATTTAGACAATATTTCAAATTATTTTGTGCACAAACAGTTTTCATGGTATGGTTATTTTCATTTGTGACATTACATTGTCAGTATTGTAAAATTTTTAGGGTTTTGGATCACGTCACATTTTGAAATTTCAGATGAGCAATACTCAATTATATATTTTTGTGTGTGTGCACAATGATACCACCATTGAATCTAGATGTAGACCAAGCTAGCAAACTGCTCACAATGAAGTCAGTATAAGGGTCAGCTTCATTGTATGAGTTTAGATAGATTGATTGTCCATTAAAGAGTTATGTTACTATAACAGGCATATCATAGCCATCTTAAGGACATATACTGTAAGAGTCTTTAAAATTACAAGATGGTATCTAAACACAATTACCCCCAAAGAGCTATCTTCTCTTTACCAGTGTGTTGTAGATTTCTTTAGAGGGTATATACATTATTCCAGGGTGATGTTTGCCAGATTTCACTTTTATTTTGTTTTTTGTTTTTGTTTTTTTTTTTTTTTTGTTTTTGTTTTTGTTTTTTATTTTTTCTCTAGCCCCTATTACATTTTTTTAATTTGTTTTCTTATTTTACATATTGATCCCACTTCCCTCTCCCTGTCTCCCTCCCTTTCTCCCTCCCTCCCATGCCACCCCTTACTCCACAGGAAGGATCAACAAAATCTGTCAAGTCATTTGTAGTAGGGATTAGGCCTTCCCTCCTTTCTCTAGGTTAAAGGAGTTTCCCTCCATGAGGAATGTGCTCCCAAAATCCTCTTGTGCATCAGGGATACATCCTGGTTCCACTGTCAGAGGTCCCTTAGACTTCCCAGGCCTTCTAAGTGAGACCCATGTTCAGGGGGGCCTGAGTCGGTCCAATGCTGGTTTCCCATCTATCAGTCCGGGGGGTCCATTAGCTCCTCCCAGTTCAGGTCAGCTGTCTCTGTGGGTTTCTGTAGCCTGGTCTTGTCTTCCCTCTCTGCATCCTGATTCTAGTTCAGCTCAGTGTTTAGTGGGTGTCTGCTTCTGTTTCCAACAGCTACTAGATAAGGGCTCTATGATGGTGGATATACTTTTATATAACAGGTTTTAAATTCTTAACAACCATATGCTAATTGTCTAACATCTTCAGGATATTACCATTTTTTACAACAAGTCCATTTGATTCTACTATTATAAATCCACAAAAACCTTTCTTTATACATTATGTGTTTCTTAAAGATGAAAGTAATACTCTTGATACTCAAGGACCATCACATACAATGTTTCTGTGTTGGTGGACCAGGATTGTAACACATGGCAGGCAGGTAGGATCTTGCTAAGTAGTTCAGGCTATCTTCAAATTCATAGACCCATCTCTCTCAGTGTTCCAAGTACTGGGTTTGCATGGATGGGCTGTCACACCTGGGGATACCAGTTTGACGTTCATTTTCATACATGAATAATACATATTTCAGTTTTAATATTGAATGCTTCTCTTGTTATCTCATATCTTGATCTTTTTCTAAATCTTAAAGATATGAAGTTGCACTATGGTGACCTCACCGACAGCACCTGCCTGGTGAAAATCATCAATGAAGTCAAACCTACAGAGATCTACAATCTTGGTGCCCAGAGCCATGTCAAGGTAAGTTGTACTCATTGCCATGGCTTCTCTGCCTGTGTCCTTGTGTTCTCTATTCACCCATATTGATTGTGTCTCAATACAGTAACAACTACTAGTTTAAGTTTAGTCTTCAGTATTAGTTTGCGGATTTATTCTAATAAAAATGCTTAGAAAATTTTAAGCTGAGGTTTCTGTTACTCAACAGTAAAATAAAATCTTTCAAATAAAATTGTTGTAGCAATTTGCATTCCTTTTAGGTTGCTCCCAATATTCAAGAGCCCCTGTTCAGACATTTTATATCAACGTGTGAGAAGTATTTGTTAAAATATTAGAAGGAGTAGCTCATTGAAATCTTTATTTTAATGTTAATTTTTGGTAGTGGCTATATGTCTGTGTTAATGGATATACTTATGTTGTAATATTCTTAAAGATGATAATTCTGTGGGTTGCAATCATATGTTAAAGTTAGCTTAATTTTTTGCTGTGAATTGTGAAAAGAGTAGAGTAAGCTTTTTCCCCCGCCTTTTTCTCTTGTTGTGATACTCTTACTGTTGATTTCTTCCCTGTATTCAGATTATCTGGTGCTCTGCCCCTTTCTTCAGTCATTCTATCTGGAGCAAGTCATAGTAAACTTGAGACTCTCTCCTGAGCCTTCCAGCTTCTGCTTGACTCAGGTTTTTGTGACTGTGCTCTTTAATGCTTCCTTGGGTGAATGAAATTTGAAGCCAGGGTTGATTCCTTCTATTTAGGTACCTGTTTAATTAAGTGGTTAGTAGAGATTAGAAATAAAAGCAAATGGCTTTAGGTTTTTTTTTTTTTTTTTTTAAGAAAACTTTATAAATATCTATCCATGTTTTTCCCTCTGTTCAAAAAAAATACAACAATTTCATTGGACTTTTTAAGGTATTTTAATATTTCTCTATATTTATATTTTTACAGAATGGGGGCAATATGCCTGCTTTCTACACCTCTGGTGCTAAGACAGGAATTAGGACCCGAGTTAATGAAAATGGTATAAGCCTAATCATTAAAACAGCAAATTTTAGAAAATTGAGGGCAAGTCCTTGGGCTCAACAGTTAAAAGCACTGACTGCTTTTGCAGTGTACTTGGGTTTGATACCTGGAACCAACATGATGGCTTACAAACGTCTGAAACTAAATCTCAAGACATCCAACATCCTCTTCTGACTTCACGAGGCACCAGAAACACATGTAATACATACATGGAAAACACACACATAAAATAAATATGTATTAAAAATAAAAACATATAGTAAGTTGTATACTATTATTATTATTACTACTATTATAGTATTCAATTTGAAATTGGCCCATTTTTGCTCTGAGATATACCTGAAGATTTATAAAGAGATTTCTTATCTGCCTTTACTGATTAGAAAAACAAGCAAAACCCTATCTTTCTCTTTCTTTTTTCCTGTTTTTTCTTCGGGTACTGAGGATGGAATATAGGACCTCATATGTGCCAAACACATGCCAGGAGCTACATCCTTTGCCCTCTTGGTTTCTTCATATACAAGTCATTCTGTGTTATATGTGGGCTAAAAATCTGGCCTGTGAAAGCATGAGAGGCTTTATATTCTACAGGTAGAGCTGTTTTCCTAGGGATTTTTAATCTTTCTGTCTCCATGGTAAAGTTATGTCTTAGGATTCTGTGTTTCAGAGATTATTTTCTATGGAGGAGTATTATTTTATTATTCCAGTAATCTTTCCCCCAAATTGAAGCACTTAGCTTATCTTCCATACTTCTTTTGATATTCTGATCACCACAAAAGTATATTCCAGAGAAAAATTGGGTGTTTGGGAATTCCCATTTTGCTTTTCAGTTTCCTTAAGTTTCAGAATTTTTCCTTTTTGATCCAGAAGCCATAAACTAATATTATGACACGATGGGGAAAATGTATGTTTATCTATAGTCCCCTTCTCTGTACCATCTTAGTATCAAATGTAATTGTCTTTTCCTTTCTTCAAAATATATTAAGGTTCTCCATTTCTTGAATTGTAGTTTGTACAATAGTGCTTAGGTATCATTCTGGAGTGATTGTTCTATAAAAAATTGCAAGCAGAGATCATTGGTTTTATTTATTCTAAATTAATACAAATGTAAATTTATCTGTTTTATGGTATTTTAGCTGCTTTTCTTAAAATGTGAGTTAATTGACAGGAATGGTGCTTAATTGGAATTTAGAAGACATTTATGTATTCATTCATGTGAGGCTTGTACATGTGTGTTATGTGGACTTGTGTATGCCACAGTGCATATGAGGAGGACAGAAAACAATTTTCAGTACTTGGATCTCTCCTTCTGCTATGTGCCTTTATATACTGAGTCATTTCATGCCTAAGAATTTTGGTTTTTTAAATAATTTCATCTTTCAACAAATATTTATTGTACATATACTTCAAACAAAGTAAGGTATAGTAGAGAAAGAGGTATACAAAATCTACTTGTGCTGTTGAGGGATTAATCTTAGTAGGGGTGACTGGTGAAAGTGTCAGAAACTTGCACAGTAGCTTTGAGTCTGTAGTGGCAGGTGAGAGGGAATTCAGTCTGAGGGACTAAATGGCATCGAGGAGGAGAGGGAGAACATTAGCTCTGGTAAATAGCATATGGATGCTATTTACAGATGTGTTAGGAAGTGGAACATTGAAATGGAGGTAATAACATAAAGCAAAGAGTCAGAAGGGGCCATGAATACTGAAAAGAAATGTCAAAGTGAGTAGGCATGGAGCTGGGCTATGCCATGAAGCTTTTGTGTGTGTTGAACAAAGAAGAACCGTATTTAGACATGAATGTTAGAGGCTAGAATCTACAGATGAGGTTACAAAGATGTATTACACAAGTATGATGACGTTTTAAAGGGGATAAGGACATAATGATCACCTGGTGGGATGAGTGGACTCTTCTATGGTCTCTAGAGAGGAGGTAAAGCACTAGTGCTCAGGGACCAGAAAGTTGATGCAACAGCTATGAGGGATTTTACTAGCAGCACTTGATGAATACTTGGATGATACACACTGTGGGACTTGATAGTCTGTTTGGTTGTAAATTCAGCTCTCAGAGTCCTTAAGATGGTGATTGGTGGCTGGAGAAAAGGAGATAGAAGACTGTAGGGAACTTGCTCTGTCGAAGGTATGGAGAGGCAAAGTAGGATAGCAGGAAGCAGGGAGACAAGAGGCAGTGGGTGGAGTTAAGTCTCATAAGTTAAAAAGGTAGACCTTCCTAGGAAGGGGATAGAGGACAGGAGTAGATCAGTGGTCTTGGCCACAATGCTGAGATCCACTTGTAATGGTTCTGTTAGTTTGCTTTTGCATTGTTGGGGTTGGAAAATAGGACCTCAAGCATGGTAGATGAGTATTCTCTTACTAGTTAGTTCTGAGCCTAGTTTTGTGGCCATGTTTTGGGAAACATTTCTTTAGCATTTCAGGTGTCTTGGTTCATTCATACAGTTGCTTTAAATGCATTTGTCTTAGACTTTCCCCTTTTAATGTACCACCTTCTGAGTTTGATGTCAAATCCTTCTGCTAATCACCAGTTCATGACAATGTGAGACTAAGTCGTAAGGACACCTACAATCAAGAATGGTGAGAATGGGAAGAGGCTGGAGTGAATCTTGTGTACCCAAGCTCTCCCAACTCAGAAATCTTTCTCCAAGTAGCCTATGAGAATTGGTACTTCTCAGAACTCTCCTTATACCAATGTCCCCTAGCCCACACCTTTTTATACCCCTGTGCTGTGAGCTAAAGTAAATTGATTCTTAAGCATGGGTAGTAGACACTGAGAAGGGGTTGGCCAAGGCCCTAGGATACTCACAGCTCACATAACTCTACCTGCTACTTTCTTCTTTGATCACTCAAAGTTGTACTTCAGGTTTCAGATTTTGGTCTGTTTTACTATCAAGGGATTAAAATAGTAAATTTGTTATAAATTCTCCATGTTAATATTTTAAAGTATTTTCAGTGATCACAAAATTTTTAACTGAAAAATTTGTTTTTAGTAATATGAACATAAAATAACATGCTATTTTGTAATATTTTGTGAAATGTTCTAATATTAGCAGATTTTATATTTAAATCTGAATTCTTGACTTCTAGACTGGGCATTGTTTGTGTTGGACTCATGTTGTACAGAATAAACTCTTCTATCACTCACACTTACAGTTAATTTGATATGGGCCATAGTATGCTAAAAGTAAGGAAAATAAAATAATAGGAAGCTGGTCTGGCTTCCTGTAGGAAACCAATGAAGATGAAATTGCTTCTTGGAATGAACCCATAGCAGTCTGGGAAATTCTGACTGAAGACATTTTTCTGAATCATAAACAGTAAAATTATGACTCATGAAGTAGTTCATTGAAAGGCTGATTGGCTCTTACGTGGGAGAAAGTGAAAGATGACTGCAATGTGCCAGTTATTAAAAGCAGTTAAACCTAGCATAATGACATCATCCCAATAGGAATAAATGATACAATTTATAGTCCTGTCCAACTTGAGAGAAAAAAAAAATGTTTTAGGAACTTTTTTTGAGATGCTATTTTCTTAATTCCTTGTGAATAATGTTTCTTATCTGCTCAGCATTTACTGTGGTTACACTTTTGGAATTTATCTACTGTTTTTTCATAGCTTCTTTGATGCTCTTGCATCTCCTACATAGTATTGATGAGATCTTTCCACAGTGAACCTAGTCCAGTGTGGGTTGAATTTATCTCACAACATCATGCTGGAATTGGCTTGACGTTTTCAAACATATGAAAATTATTCAGTTGTAAGGCAGTCATTAACTTGAGAAATAATTTAATATGACTTTCAACTTTACAAATATGATCATCTGCTCAAATTGTACATTTGGTTACTGCCAAATCCAAGATGAGAACTCAGGTTTTCTTATTATGTAATTTATTTGAAAGACCAATAAAGAAAACAATTATCTCTACCAGTTGTAATTCTGACATAAAGTTGTCTTCATAAAATTACCTTTCTCTTACATTGCTGTTTCTTCTTGA